TCAATCTGGAGCTGTTCCTGATATCGAAACGGAAAGTATGCTACCTGGAAACACTCTTTGAAAGCTGGCCAGGAATTCCAGTTGCCTTTATTACAGCGGTACCATAACAGAACTCTTCCTTTCAACAAGTCAGGTAATACATCCAGGAGCTGGTCTGGTTCTACTTTCTGCACGTTTCCAATCTCTTCTAGTCTTTCCAGGAAATCTACAGGATCTGTTGTTCCATCAAATTGCAAATTCCAGTGATAGGTGTTCAATCCACTAGAATAACACAGGACAGACCATACACTCTTAGTTCTCTGATTAATTCGGATTTGTTCAGGTTATATACCCAACTCACTCTTGGGTTCGAACCTGATATGCGCTCTCCGTAGCTCTCTGGACCTGGATTCCTGGATTTTCGGAGGTTCTCACAACCTTTACATATATCATCAACTATATCAGGGCCTAACATTCCATTCAACTGGTTAAATGAGCTGGAATATCAGGATGATTATCAGGATGAAATGTATTCGGAAATTAACGGGTTTGGCTCTCTTGCTGTCTCAAAACTCAGTGACTCTCATAAAAAAACATATATCTAGACTCAACAAATAACTTCTGGATTTCTGGATTTTGATTTCATTTATAGCTCAAGTTGACTGGAACTGGTCTCTACAAAAATCAGGTTCAAATTTATAATCAACTCTCAAAAACAAACTATACAGGTACTTTTCTGGAAAAATGCTATGATTCTGATTCCAAACAATGAAATACTGGTTCAGGAAAAAAAATGTACTGGACTTGTATCAAGCAACTTTTCTGTTGAACAGGACTGGACTATTTTCTGATTCAATAACCAAGAAGTCCCTGCTCTAGGGCGTCATTTGTAAGGGTCTTTATTCTAGGGCCCTTACTTTGACGCTCTGTTCAGGACAGGAGACGACTCTGGTATTTGACGGGGGGATTCTCGAGCGCCAGATTTTTGATAAAGGTGATTTACTTCACCTGCTCCTCCCAACTTAGTCGGGAAGGAGGCCCACAGTAGCAACAGTGGAGAAAGGTACAGGAGGTATACCTACCTCGGTACCCACAGTATAATCCAGGGGTCAATGGTATTGAATCGACCTGGAATCAATAAGTAGCCAAGGGAGTGTAGGCTTTAATTACAAACCCTGGGTCTAGCCTGGAATACTGGTTGCTATTTCTGGTCTGGATAATTACAGGAATCAAAGCAAAATATCTCTCAGGTCTTTGGTATTTTAAGGTTAGGTCTGGAAGATTATTTACTCAACTATTTCATCATTTCTACCTGGAGAATCGGAAACACAGTTCTGAACGAATTAAACAGATTCAATTTCTATTTATCTTTTCTTCCTTCGATTCTTCTAATTTTCTAATATCGGATTTTTAGTGAGGTTAATTAATTATATTTTTCCATTAATGTCAATAGTTCATGAAACATAGAACACCGCCTGACGGGATACAAAGCACAGAGACACCGGTGCACAGGACTGGATTTCTCAAGGAAAAGAAGAAGAAGAGTTGTTAACTGGCTTGTCAGTGTCAGTCGTCAGTCAATAATAATATTCTGCAATTTTGACAAATGAGAATATTGAAAATCACTAAATAAATTATTAAACTATTTGGAACTGAAAACAATGACAACAGAGAAGGGAATATGAAATATGCAATCACATAATCCGTTTATTCAATTTAGAGTTCTGGATTCTTTACACAGGTCGGGTGAGTATCGGTGTGAAAAACAACAGGAATGAAATGAGGCTATAAACAGGATGAATAACACTGGTGAAAAATATACAAACTTACATGTGTAACCAGAAATCACTATACAATACTACTTAACACTGGTTTTGAATGAACTATGAGAGCACTAAAAGATCAGCTAGAGAATCAGGAGCTTGAAGAGCAACGGAGATCAGGTAGTGTAGACTTGCAGAGAAAAGCTTAGAGAGTGTGAGTGTCGAATCCTTGGCTGTCTTCAGTATTTATGCACTGCTTTGGCCTTGGCACAAGGACAAGTAAATCTGGAATCTCATTGGTCAAAACTCCCACCTTGTCATGGCTCATGGCCATGGCCACTAAATCTGTCCTTGAAAAATACATGTGCACCTCCGACACAAAACGCGGAAAAAACAATATAACACCCTAAATGGGCACAGGAACAGGATCTACTACCTTTGCTTATGCTACTGAATGAATTTGGCTGCAAAATATTTAATAACAACAAAGTTATGAGCAGTTAAACATTCATCATTTCACCTGATAGATAATTCCATCGAATTTAATATCATAAGCAAAGGGTTGAAAAATATGGAAGTCTTCAGGGTTGTAATGATGTTCATGAGAGTTTACTATCAGGAAAAGCTTTGTGAAGTCAGGAATCAATGCATTACTCAGCTCTCTCAGGTTTTCAGGTTTCGAGCTTTCGAACAGGTGAAATTCAACTAGAATCAGGCTCAGGTACTTAAATTTCGATCAAAACCAGTCTAGTAATGAAGCTGGTCAAAAACACTTCATTACATCTGGAACGCATCTCTCGCTTTACTTCACCTCTACAGATCCGTTTAAAAGATAAGCGCGCGCCACCGATGGATATCCCGTTTGAATAGCATTAAAATAATTGAAATATTACGGAGGTCGGAATACCACAGTGCGTATATACGCTGCCTCGTAATGCAAAGGTCCCTAGTTCAATTCCCCAGCGGTGACAGCTTTTTTTAATTTATTTATTCACGATGTCGACGTGACGACGTATGAATAATTTGAATTTCGCGCCGGTTTTTAGTGGGCGTGGCCTCCAATTAAATGCTGGTCTCTGATTGGCTTGCCCTAGAACATACATAGACTATCTACTAATGATCATAAAATGAACACCAATGGTAGGTTTCGGAAGGAAACAACTACTTTCCTGGCTTATGCCACGCAGGGCATTGAATTAAATCCTCCCGAAATCTATGCATTGACTCGTATAAACGGATACTGATACAAGTGATTCTTTCCTGAATGCTTATTGATTTGCTTTAGCCAGGCCACGCTAGACAACCACAGACCGGTTTCGAGCTCCTTGACTATCATCAGTGCAGTGTAGTAGTAGTAGCCCTAAGACCGCCGACTCAGCGTAGCCTAGCCAATTCAATTCAATTTTGTATTTATTTAACATTTCATTACACTCTGAGCAATGTGGCTATTTCGTAGTTGAATACAAAATAAGTTTTTCCGACAACACACAAAACGAAAATCTCAAATCTCAATTTCAATTCGAGATATTTTTTTGGCATACAAGATACGTCCTCACATCACTGTAATTCATTGGTCACTGAACAAAATCATCTGAGAATAATATTAAAATGTTCAATCCTGTCATTGCGAAAGTAGTAGAAAGGGATATAGGTATAATTCCAACATGCTATGTGTACTGGGCTGAAATATATGTGGTCGGATATATGTTCACTCAAATCTCTCATTCTCTCTTCTCTACTACTTATGTGAGAAATATTTTGTGCAAAGGGGCATGAATATTCCTAAACTCCTAAAATTAAAAGAAATATGGATGGTATGATTCGTGCAAAGGAGGATGAGTCCACTTATACCTGTTCTCACAAATCACCACAGTATTCACCAGAACATAGGATGGAAGTATATCAACATATATCCATTTTTATAAATAGTTTCATAAACAACGGAACTCTTACAATTACATCCCTTTTCACAAGAATATTCCTCCAAGTCGTTCTCGCTAGTGGACATATGTATATATATATCCCTTCACACCAAAAAAATTGTCACATTGTGTGAATGTCACCCTTTTCACATTGCAATAACTTCGAAACCACAGTGTTTTGACTTATATCCGTTTTCCCATAGGTGGAAAATGTTGTTTTGGGTATTGGGGACGACTTGACTCATTTTCAATATTTTTAGACATAAATCCCTTTCCCCGAACAAGTGCCTATTGTTGGCATGTTAAGGTAGATGAATCTGTTAACAGTAACTTTGGCTCATATTCATATCTTGGATTCATTCTCAGTAATTCGCTGTGAAAACTGAGTGGCGCCTGACAAAAGGATAACCCCACTAGTAAACAATAAAAAAATCTGACTCACGACCTGCTCCCAAACAAACGAGCTGCCGTGCCTGTAACAAATGAAAATCTCTCCCTTTTTTTCAAAACATCAAAAAAATTGTTATAATTAATTGCAGAATGTGGTGAATCAGGTGCTCGGAGTTACATTTTTACGTCCACGTCATTTATCCAATGTCTCTCCTTAGTTTCGACTTCTGGGGAGTTCTCAACTTTGAAGTTACGATATACAAATTTTATAAATTTTACAAAGGTCAATCAAATCCAAGCTTCACCCCCTACTCGTCCAATTCAACCCATTCAAGGCCAAGCACCACTTACTCCCGCACTCGTGCGACACCTGCCCTTTCAAGCCCAACCTTGTCCCTTCATCAAGCTCCACCCCACTTTCTAGGCCCCACCCACGTTTCGCTCAAGTTTCGTTATACCTACTGTTGGCATCTGCCATCTGTTTCAATGATGAAGCATCCAAAGAAAACACCAAGTATATTCATTTATCAGTATTTATTAATTTAGGTTCATGTTGTCACTGCCACAATTCATGTTGTGCACAATATATTCGTAGATAAATATTGTATTTTGTTCGCTTCGACGGGTAGTGAATATAGACGAATATTCTGAATGAATCAGGATGAGAACTATGGGAACAGGAAAACGTCAAGCTACTGAGTCAACACAAAAAATCTGTATCCTATTCAATTCTGCATACCACAACAGCTATCTCGTTCGCTCAAAGAAAAGTATCGAATATCACTACAGAGTATAACTACCTAATGTCAGAATCTGTATCCATCATTCAGAAATTTATCATCACAGAAACTTCATTATCGTCCATATTTCCAGGATACTACTAATCTAATCTGGATGCATCGATTAGGACTTGATCAATTCGAATCATGACTATTCTCATTACTACCACTTATGGATTCTATTTGTAACACATTGGTCGATGTTGGGGAATTACTATTGCTTCCTGCATTCAGACTGAGCTCTGTTGGTATCAAACCTTCCTTCATCCTCTTCTTCTGCTTCATTCTCCTGTTTTGAAACCAGATTTTTACTTGAGTTTCATTCAGTTGCAATGCTGAAGCTATTTCTATCCTCCTTGCTCTCGTCAGATATTTGTTGAAGTGGAATTCTTTTTCTAACTCAGTGAGTTGCTTATTCGTGAAATTCGTTCTACCACTATTCAAACAATTCAAATTCAGGAGATTAGAAGCATTTGATCCAAGACATGTACTTCTTGATGCTGGGCTCTGAGGATCAAGGCATGGTTGTACAATTGTGGTTTGGTAGTTCGTCACTGATGTTGTTGATGATGTCAATCTGGATGCTGAAATAATAAATAGCAATTAGAAATTGAACACAGGTGATTTTGTCATTTTATTGTATCAATTACAGATTTCTAGAATCAACACAAGAACACCAACATCTATGAAGGTCTAAGCATTTATCGATCAGAGTTGATTATTTATGTACTGTATTTTTCCTCGCAGACTATCATACTATAAAGAGTGTTGCAGAAACCAACCAACCAAAATGTTTTCACAGATGATAGCCCTCGTGATTTTGTGACGACTGACGTAGGGATTTCATACAGGATGTCCCAACTCTATTCATTCACACATTTTCTCAAAATTGGTAAAACAGTGAATGTTATGGAATAGTTGGCTCGAATGAGGAAGTTTCGCTCAGAAATGAGTCATTGAAAATATCCTTCGAAAAATCACTTCTGAGCCCATACCACTCCATTTTTGTTTTTTGAACAATATAATTTGATTATGCCACGAAACATCACTCGAGGCAATTACAGCAGCTTGTACAAGGAAGGTTCTGCGAGGGTGTTAACTGTGTCAGTAGTGAATGGTGTCCACTCCGAACATCTTGTTAGATTCTGATGAATTATTTTGATAATTTTGTGGTCTTCGCTGCATAATCAAATAGAAACCAACATTTTGAAAAAATTCCTAGTGTTCCCCTTCTCTTTCGCACTTGTTGCCATTCAAGATTATATCAAGTATAATATATCACGATGTTCGTTAGCTCACAAGCTATTCAAACATACTACAAGTATTAGGATGATGTGATTCAAAAAAATTGAATGAAGGGTGTGTGCTGATGGGTGGTTTGTCGAAGATTTGTTTCAATAAATAATTTTACATCAGTCGTCTGATTCTGCCTCAAGATTCATGATAAGAATATAAGAAATTTCTCATATAATATGTTATTCAGTTGTTGATTTGATATCATCCAGGACATATTTAGGGAAAGTGTAATATATAATTGAAGGGGTAAGTGGAAGAAGTGATGTTACAAATATGAATTTATGAGAAGAATTGGTTTTAGTGAAGTTAGCTGGCATTTTTCAATGGAAGCTAGTTCAATAATTGGATTCATACAATTGTGAGGAATATGTTCGGGTTATTAGCACATAGCTCCTTCTCCCATTGCGCCCTTGATGTTTAATGTCACAAAGCTCGTTCTACCACTGTGTATCTGCTTAGGTATGGAGAATAGAAACAAGTCCTGGAGTGATAAGTAACATATGCACATAACACCTTCTTCCATGACATAACCGGATATTTTTGGAAAACGTTAATTAACCCCTTCTTCCACTTGCCATCTAATTGTATTCGTGCGCAAATGGGCACTTCAAAGATACCACATTGATGAGTGGTGTTTAAAAAAAAATTGTGTTATGTGGTCAAGGATGATTTGTCGAGGGGTGATTTTGATAAATAATTTTTGTCCAACACACTCATTTGAGCCAGTTCTTATGAAACATTGATAGTGTCATCCTTTCTTGAGAAAATGCATTGATAAATAGAGTGTTCCATCTACATCTCCCGGTATGGAGAAATGTTTACATCTAGTGTGTTTCTTTCGCGATAACGCAAAGCAGGCTGATCATATTCCATTTGAATAAGATATATTCCTTCATTTGCTACTTTGTTTATACAGGTTGGTCCGTTTTTGATTACGGAAAATTCAACAGCGTATAGTACTCTTTGAAATAATAAATAAACGCCTTATGAACGCTTCGTTTTCGAGAAATAGGGTGTTCAAGTTGCTTTGAAAAATCTATTATTTATTGATTTCTCAGAAATGCTATAACCGATTGTGATGAAATTCACATATTTTGTGGAAATATCAATGAGCTAACTTTTAGACCTATTACAGTTCATGAATGAGTTACATATTTTCAGGGGCGTGCATTTCAAAATCAAATTTTTTTGCCCTCTCAGATTTCTTATCTAATAGCTTCGTTTCGAAAGGAAATATAAAAACCAAACCTATGCATGACTCTAAACCCAATCATGTAACCATTGCAAATCAATCATTTACGTATCAAAAGAGCCACAACCGGCTATAGACCGCAGTGGATATCCTGCTATTTGTCTTCAATGTTGTCGAGCAAGTACATTTTTACTAGTTAGTTTTTGAGATATATGGTGTCAAAAATACGCTTCAGAATGAATATTGTTTTTTAATAAAAAGTTGGGAACGGTTCAAGATGAATTAACGAAATTTTCCACAGATTCTCGACGTTCTGAGCTTTATTAAATTGAATAACAATTATTCATGAGAAATATTCAGTGGCGGCTGAATCTGGGGTGGCGAAGGAAAAAATTATGGTTCAACAATCAAACTTTTAAAGATTAAAATTAGGTGAATATCAATAGAAAACAAAGGAATCCATTGAAAGGATTTGTTTTATCGCTTGGAGCGCACGAAAGGGAATCCCTATAATGTTCAAAGAACATCGTGCGTTCCTAGGGAGGATAGGGACAGGAGGAAGGTATTGGAATTTTTTTCAACTTTTGGAGATTATGTATTGTTGGGAATACTTCCACAGGCAATGCATTCCAGAGGCTAGCCGTTCTATGGATGAAGGAGTCTTGATAAAGTGCTGTTCGACAACGAAAGGATGTGCTGACTGGGCTTGTCTCGTTCGTCTGATTGATACTGCTGGTGAAGGAATGGTAGCAGAGATTTCCGAAGAACATTTCCTGTGGAAGTATCGATAGAAAAGTGAAAGGTCGCCGAACTTTCTACGGTGTTCCAATGATATCAAAGAGTGAGTGAGTGTGGCGTCACCCACCAGGCGAATGGCTCTTCTCTGGATGGAATCTAAGAGCATCAGCGTATGTTTTGGTGCTGAACCCCATATGTAATAATAATAATAATAATAATAATAATAAGTTTATTTACCAAAATGTTATTACAAAATTAACACTAGAATTGTTGTTGTAATGTAAACAAACATGGAAATCCCACTAAAACCAAAGTTGCGCGTGGGCTTTGCAATATTTAATTTACAATATTCCATATGCATATGATATTATAAATAGAAGAAAGTTTGAATTGGTCTCACTTTGTAAATATTATATGTGGGAACAGTATTCTAGAACAGGCCGTATCTGCCCTTTGTAGATCATGAGAAGCTGTTGAGGTGTGAAGTAGCTTTTCGGACAGAACAAGAACCCGAGTGTTTGTGAAGCAGCTTTTGCGATGAGTCTAACATGATTATCCCATGAAAGAGTGTTGCTGATGGAAATACCGAGCATAGATATGGTGGGCTTGGTGAGGATGGTGGAGCCAGACATTACAATATCGGGCATACTGAGTTCCGCCATTCTAGAGAAAATGCAGGCTTGAGTTTTGGTAGCGTTGAATTCAACTAGGTTGTTTATTCTCCAAGCTGTGATTCCAGCAAGATCTTCATTGACAGCATTGACCTGCCTGTGCCGTGAGTTCTTAGTTTCCTGGGAAGAAATGGGAATTCTGGGAGAGAACGCAGTATGGGGGGTACTATCATCTGCAAAAGCTGTGGATGGGGCAATTTGTTACTCCTAACAGATCATTGATATGAAGCAGGAATAATCTTGGTGCCAAAATTGATCCTTGTGGAACGCCGGAATTGATGCCAATGGTATCAGACGATTCACCGTCCACCACCACGTGAGGCGATCTGCCTGAAAGAAAACTCGATAAGAGATGGCAGTAGAAGTCGGGGAAGAATGGCTGACCCCCACCCCTCCACCCAACCACGTGACTTGGCTAGCCAATTAGAGAGCAGCATTTCTCACTCCTCTACTTTTGTCGGCGGCGTGAACTTCAAGTCTAGATAGTCTGCTTATGGCGCGAAATTCAAATTATGTGACGTCATGGCATCATCATCGTGCATAAATTAAAAAAAAACCTTCAGCGCTGGGGATCGAACTCGGGACCATTGCATTATGAGGCAGCGTATATACGCACTGGGCGATTCAGGAGGCCATGAAAGTTTCACTATGTAAACCGTATTCAAATGGGATCGTCGAGGATCAGCGAGCGAAGCTTTATATAATGTCGTGAATCAGATTTCTGTCACACCCAGTACAACTTTTATGTTAGCAAATTCTTGCTTTTATTTGAATAAACAATGTTTGGAAAACATAACAATGGGTTGTTGGCAGACTGGGGCGTTGCTAGGCGGGAGTTGGGTAGTGAGAGTGCCCAAGTGAGTTTGGGGGTCGCAATGGGTGCGTTATTAGGGTTGAATACCAAGTAAGTCACTTGTTCTTTTTATATTCGTTATGTAATGCCAGTTGGAGGGGATTCATTCTGAATAATTGAATAAAATGTTAATGATTTGTTTTGAACTATCTGCTCTTAATTTTTCTACCCTACCTAGTCAGTCGTGAACCACCCCTATTCACGACAAGTGGTGGAGGCGCCGGGCAAGAAGGAAGAAGAAAAACATGAAATTGAGTGTCTGATTGATAAATTCCAGGACGTATTCGCAATGGATGTTAGAGACATGGGTGCAACGAATTTAATCAAACATAAAATAGAGTTGACGGAGCACACCCCCTTCAGAAGTAAACCATATAAAGTCTCGCAGAAAGAACGAAAAATAATCGATGAACAAGTACAGGAAATGTTGGAAGCTGGTATAATGAGGCCTTCACAGTCACTGTATTCAAGTCCGATAGTGTTGGTGAAGAAAAAAGGAGAAACGGAAAAAACAAGGTTTTGTGTCGATTACCGAAAGCTGAATAACATAACAAAAAAGTCAAATTATCCGCTAACGAACATTGATGAGATTTTGACATATTTTGGCAAATCCAAGTATTTCTCGACCCTAGATTTATTCAGTGGCTATTGGCAAGTGGAAATGGAAGAAAAGTCTAGAGAATATACGGCATTCGTTACTCCAGGATTTGGGTTGTATGAGTTCAATAAACTACCATTCGGACTCTGCAATGCACCTGCTACTTTTTCCGATATGGCCGATCGTGTTTTTCAAGGACTCAAATGGACAGATGTATTGGTGTACTTGGATGATGT